TCGTTCGGGAGCCCATTCTCGGCTTCTCCTGCTCGCGGATTGGATCCGGAGACGCTGCAGCAATCGGACTCCGAGGAGGCAGACGTGCTCAGCGCAGTGGACGATGACTTCCGGGTGTCGGGGCGGCGTCATCTGGCCGCGCCCGACTATGACGTGCTGCTGGAGGTGGTGACTAGAGCCGTGGCTAAGCTCAACATCAACTGGCCACGGGAGGAGCAGACACCACAGGCTAGTGGTAGCTTGATGAAAGGTTTCTTAAGCACCACACGCCACCTCCACGCCGGTCTCTGCCATTCTTTCCTGAAAAGAAAGTGCATGATGAACTGAGTAATCATGGGGCAGACCCTTCTCTACATGGCTTTCCACACCCCGATCACTGAACTACAGTAATGTGATGGGGGTTAGGGACCGTGGTTATGGGAGGATGCCTCGGGTGGAGGATGAGCTTGCGAGCTATCTCTCCCCTCGACTTGCGTCCTCCCTGGAGAAGCCGGCGTTACCATCCAAACCATGTCGCACCACATCCACGCTCGTGGGGAAGGCGTACATGGCAGCGGGCCAGGCAGGTGCGAGCTTGCACACCACGGTGCTTCAAGCCTACCAAGCCAACCTGCTACAGGAGATGGTTCAGAGGGGGGGTCCCTCCGAGGAAGATCTGGCGGAGCTTCGCAGAACCACGAAGCGTTAGACGCAGTGCGAAGCATTCCGCCAGTACCTCCCTCGCCGGTCTGGACCCAAGGCAGCTGAGGCTGCCAGGCGTAGGTCCCTTCCCTCTACGAGCTCCTACGGAGAGGAGAGGAAGCAGAGTGTCGCTTCTCGGGGGCCCCCCCGAGGAGCTGGGGCAGCGAGACCGTCATCCAGTCCCGACGGAGCTCAGGGAAGACCGGGGTAGGGGAGTCTTTCTCCCCTCCCGTACCCCCCCCCCCCCCCCCGGAGGCCGACCGAGGTCCCCTCCGCCGTGGCAACAGGTGATGTTATCCCGCCGTTTACACGTTCAGGACGCACCTGCCACCATCGAGTCCGCGCCGTACTGCCTGCCCCGAGGGTCTGCAGGCGGACGGCACTCACCGTGGATCTTCGGCGGCTCCCCCCTGCCGTTCTGGGGCTTCAGGGGTCCACCAGAGGATCACACGAGACACCGACCACCAGCCCCGAGGGGCTGGTTCCGTTGGCAGACTTTGCAGACGCTTGGCGGAGCCTGACGAACATTTCTCCGCGGGTCCTGCGCACTGCCATCGATGGGTATCGACTACAGTTCAAAACCCGCCCTCCAAATTCAACAGAAGAGAGGGGGTGGTTTGGACTGTGGTCCGCCCGGAGCAAGGTCCGGTGTTGGGACAGGAAGTTCGTACTCTGCTGAGGAAAGGGGCCGTGGAACGTGTCTCCCCCCCAGACAGAGACGCCGGTTCTACAGCCGGTACTTCATAGTCCCCAAGAAGGACGGAGGGCTGCGTGCCCTATTTTGGATCTGCAGGTTCTAACCGGTCTCTGAGGAGATTCAGGTTAAAGATGCTCATCATCCCCGCCACCGTGACGCACATCCAATCTGAGGATTGGTTCGTCACGATAGATCTGAAGGACGCCTATTTCCAGGTCTCCATCCATCCTTCTCACAGGAAGTTCCTGAGGTTTGCCTTCGGGGGTGTGGCTTACCAGTATCGGGTTCTTCCATTCGGCCTGGCACTTCCCCTAGCACATTCACCAAGTGTATGGATGCAGCACTGGCCCCGCTGAGGCTCCGGGGCATCCGGATTTCAACTTCATCGACGACTGGCTCATCCTAGCCCAGTCTCGAGAGTTGGCGGTTCGGCATCGAGATGTCGTTCTGACTCGTCTGCGGCGTTTAGGGCTGAGTCTCAACGCAAAGAAGAGCGTGCTGGCGCCCACCCAACGGGCTACGTTCCTAGGGGTTGCATGGGATTCGACAACGATGTGGGCACAATTGTCTCCGGCACGTGTCGACACCATATTGGCTGCCGTGAAAGGGGTGAAGTTAGGCCACGCCATCACTATGAAACACTTTCAACGATTGTTGGGTCTCCTGGCGGCTGCGTCCAGCGTAATACCATCTGGACTGCTGCACATGAGACCCCTGCAGTGGTGGCTAAGGCACAAGGGTTTTTCCCCGAGGGGAATCCTCTCCGTCTGGTTTGGGTTACGCGCAAGTGTCTTCGTTCCCTATCAGTTTGGAAGGAAACTTGGTTCCTGTCCCAGGGGCCCGTGCTGGGAGGGTCTTGTCGCCGGCTGGTTATTTCGACAGACGCCTCCCTCACGGGCTGGGGCGCGGTCATGGACGGCCGCTTTGCAAGGGGATCCTTGCAGGTGCATCGATCCGAGTGGCATATCGACTGTCTCGAGATGTTGGCGGTGTTCCGGGCTCTAAGGAGTTTCCTGCCCGATCTCCAAGGCCACCACGTCCTGGTTCGTTCCGAGGAGAACAACACAGCGGTGGTGGCCTATCTGAATCACCAGGGCGGTCTGCGCTTGCGCCCTCTGGACAGACTGGCGCGTCAGATCCTCCTGTGGTCCCAGCAGAGGTTACTATCGCTCAGGGCGATGTATCTCCCGGTGACGCAGAATCAGGGAGCAGACCTGCTGTTGAGGCAGGGGCTGAGGCCTGGGGAATGGAGACTTCACCCCGAAGTGGTGGAGCTCTTGTGCGAAGAGTTCGGCCCCATAGACGTGGATCTGTTTGCGTCTCAAGAGACTACGCACTGCCCGCTATGGTTTCTCTCGTTCCTCCAGCCCCGTTGGGTCTGGACGCCATGGTACATTCGTGGCCGAGGCTACGTCTGTACGCTTTTCCCCCAGTCGCTCTGCTCCCGGGGTTCTGGAGCGGGTCCGCCAGGACTATGTCGGCCTACTGCTCGTAGCCCTGTTCTGGCCAACCCGGGTGTGGTTCTCGGACATCATGTCGCTCCTGGACGGCCCGCCGTGGCGGGTCCCTCTGAGGAGAGACCTGCTGTCCCAGGCGCAGGGCCGGGTTCTTCACCCTTGCCCCGCCATATGGCGACTGTGGGTCTGGCCCCTGAGGGGGCACAGTACCTAGAGGCGGGTCTAACAGCCGGAGCAGTCGAGACCCTCCTGAGCTCCAGGGCCCCGTCCACACGGAGGATGTACGGCCTGAAGTGGAGTGTTTTCTCCACTTGGTGTAGGGAGCGGTCGGTGGACCCTGTTACCTGCCCGGTGGTTCAGGTACTTGAGTTCCTCCAGGACCGGTTCTCTGCTGGTCTTTCCCCTTCCACCCTCAAGGTGTACGTGGCAGCTATTTCATCTTTCCACACCCCTCTGAGGGAGGGGTTCTTGGGGAAACTTCCCTTGGTTGTACTTTTCCTCCGTGGTGCCCGGAGGATGAGACCTGCGACTCGGTCCAAGGTTCCCACTTGGGATCTGGCAGTGGTTCTTGGGGCGTTGGCTGAGGCCCCCTTCAAACCCCTGGAGTCAGCTGAGGCTAAGCACTTGACCCTCAAGATGGCCTTTCTCCTTGCTATCACCTCTCTGAGGAGGGTGGGGGAGCTCCAAGCGCTTTTGGTTTCCCCGCAAAGCCTGGAGTTTGCCCCGGGGAATATTAGGGCTATCCTGCACCCTTGTTCAGGATACATCCCTAAAGTGCCTTCTTGTGCGGCAGGGTCCACAGGGTCCACAGGACGGGAGACTTCATCTGCTCTGCCTGTCAGAGCACTGAGTATTTACACTCTGAGGTCCTCCCGTTGGAGGAAGGCTGACCAGCTGCAAGTGTGTTTTGGGTCTCCCAGGGCCGAGCTCCCTGCATCCAAACATACTATTAGCAACTGGATTGTTCAGACTATTTCCCTGGCCTATCAGGTGCGCGGTTTGCCTTCACCTGTGGCTGTGAGGGCTCATTCTACCAGAGGCAAGGCGGCCTCTCGAGCCTTCCTTTCCGGGGCCTCTTGCAGGATGTTGTTTAGCGGCTGGCTGGGCCACTCCGCACACATTCATTCGGTTTTACAGTCTTGACCTTCCTTCGGCACCTGGCACTCGTGCGCTCTCCTCTTAGTCGTGCCACTTTATTGCACACAGGGGCAGGCGGGGTTTTCGGCACGGTTTAGTGGGTATCTCGTTCCCATAGTGTCGTAACCGACGCAGTTCGAGTTCCCTCGAAGGGGAACGTCTCGGGTTACGTATGTAACCCTGGTTCCCCGAGAAGGGGAACGAGAGACTGCGTCGGCCCGCCGCACCTCTCTCCCCGCCTGAAGCGCCTGCTTCATAGTTTAAGCTAATGATGAGTGTGTACAGGTGTGCTTTATACTCCTCCGGTTATTCCGTCACACCTTACCGTTCTAGCAACAGGCCAATAGGATTGGAGTGATTTCATTCACGTTCAGACCTGCTTTGCCTAGAGGCGTTCCCATAGTGTCGTAACCGACGCAGTCTCTCGTTCCCCTTCTCGGGGAACCAGGGTTACATACGTAACCAGAGACGTTTCTGCCTCTTAAAGGAAGTTTTTCCTTGCCTCTGTCTCCTAGTGCTGCTCTTGGTGGGAACTGTTGGGCTTCTGTAAATAGCATCATAGAGTACGGTCTAGTGAGATAACTGTTGTTGTGATTTGGCGCTATATAAATAAAATAAAATTGAAGTGAATTCTGTTCCCTTTCCATTTAAAAGAAAAAGCAGAAGCAAAAACTTTGCTCAGAGGAAAAGAATGTTTGGATCTTCCAGTAGATAACTTTAGAAAAACAGATTCTGAAAACTGAAAGTAAAAGTCTTCTGTGGTTTATAGAGGATGTCTGTTAAGTCACGTGTTTTGGCTGAGGCGTGGAGGTGGTATGTAAATAACACACTAACCAGAGGTAACACTAGCATCAGACACATCAAATTCTTTCACTGTCTTTCAGCTGACCAAAAGTAAGACGTTTCTGTGATGTCCATGGACTTTGTTTATGCTTGTAAAATTAATCAACATACAAGATGACGTGTTTTTATAAGAAACTAGTTCTTCTGTTTAAAAGTTCAGTTTAAACTGTTTTTTGTTTACTCTCACAAATCACATTTACAAGTTAGTTATTGTAAATGTTCAATGTAATATACTATATATAACATTAAGATTAAAATATCCAACCAGGTCATTTTGGTTTTAAAGCAAAAAGAAAAATGATCTTTAAATGTGAACTCGGAGTAAATGCTTTACTTTCCAGCAATGGGAGGAAGAAATTCTAAACCTGCAGATCCACCTCCACGTAAGATGACTTACAGATTTTTATTATTTAATCACATGTTGCACTGTGATATCAGTGATCAAACATTTTGTTTTGTACTTGTCAGTTCTTGATACGCCATGGAGAAACATAAACTGGGAGTGAGTTTGTGTTTTTTTATATTTCACAGAACCTAAAAAGCTCAGTTATTATTTTTTTACTCTTTTACTGCTCAGTTGTTGCACGTTATCTCAGTTTTTGTTTTGAATGTGATGTTAAGTTTCCTTCCCTGAGCAGAGACAAACGGAGCGCTTTGCGGTATGTCAACAACTACAAACCCCAACCTGAAAACCGGCAGCTGAGGATTTTACTTCATGGTCTGGTTGGAGCTGGAAAGTCCAGTTTCATCAACTCTGTCCGCAGCGTGTTAGAAGACAGAATGTGCAGTCAGGCTAGGGTGGATAATACAGCTTCTACCTTCAGTTGCACCAAAACCGTATGAAGAAAAGTTTAATTCTGTTGATATAGTGAGTAGGAAATAATCTCAAATGTACTGTATATGCAAAGCTTTGGAAATGTTTATAAAACCTAACAAAGCTAAGTAACCATTCATAGTCCTCATCCCAACAACTAACACTGATGCCGCTAGTTCTGTGCACATAAACGGTTTAACACATTGTCCAAACAGACTGAAAGCAGCACATTATCAGCGCAGCAACTTCAGCCACAGCTCTGCATCCTGTTTGTCCACACAGGATGTGGTCCGTCACAGTCCAGTAGTTCCACATTTTGGCAGTGCTCAAAAGTCAACATACAATCACTGTACTTGCATGTGTAAAACTGGAAACATCGTCAGAATCTGTATGTTTAAATGTTTTAATATTGATGCAGCAGAACCAGAGATTACATTACCCACAATGCTAAAAGACTACATGCTTAATAACTGCGTTTTGTCTACATGTGGTTCACAGTACACAACCTACAGGATCCAAAAAGGAAGCAGGAACACCTTTTACCCGTTTGTCCTCAATGACATGGCAGGCCTGCGAAACACCAGCTTCAAAAACAGAAGAAATCACATGAAAGACGTCAAACGGGTGATGAAGGGACATGTGAGAGACGGTTACACGGTAGTTACTGCATTTTTAAAACTTTGACATTATTTAGTTAAAACAAAACAGTTAATCAGTTTCTCATTATATTAATCTTAGTTATTGACATCTTTTAAAGGGTATTTTCCAACCTGGACCCTATATTCCCGTGTCTTTGTGACTTACTGGGACAACATTTTTGAAACTGGTGCAGTTTTAATCTAGTGCGCTGCAGTTGGCAACAGTGAAACAGAGCTGTAATCTTTGCACCCCGTCAAAGTATGTCCTCTAAACAGTGGCGTGTCCAGACGTTTTTAACAGCAGTGGCATGAACTACTTCCGTGCACTCACACACACAAACACACCAGAATAGAATTCCCTTAATGTCCCCACTGCTCATATTTATGTTTTAAAGGGTTGAAAACACCAAAGTCACACAATAACACAAATAAACTAACCAATCAAGGCAGCAGTAGACCAGTAACTCCTTCGTTCAGCGAGGTAAAAGGCGAGGTCTGGCTTTGACGAGAGTGATGTAACATTATAGATTAAACAAAAGGTAAGTTTGCCCAATTAGTCACATTAGACACAACAACATGGGAAAATAGGATCCAGGTTAAAAAGTAATGAAGTTACCTCAACTAGATCTGACTTTGTTTTTCAGTTTAATTCTGAACGTAAGATATCAAAGGAGGATCGATTCTACAACACAGATCCAACTGCCAACGACAAAGTGCGCATTCTGGTTTGTGTCATTGATGCCAGCACAGTGTCTCTGATGAAAAAAGATGATGTAGAAGCAATACAGCACATCAGGGAGGAGGCCAGTGATCTGGGTGAGAGCAGAAATCAACTTTTACATTCGTATCCACACTGAGGTCGATGGAACCAATAATTCAAACACTCGGATTAATTTACCTCCTGTAGGTTTCTATAGTAGTAGAACAGCAGCTGTGGTCTGGCTGGATAAAAGTCAAATGTAATTGGTCCACCTTAATGTTTCCTGTTCTCCTGGCAGGAATTCCTCAAGTGGCCGTCCTCACCAAAATTGATGCAGCTTGTCCTGAAATCAAACAAGATGTAAAGAACGTCTACAGGAGCAGGAAACTGAAGTCATTGGTAAGTTTTTATGAGTTTACACATCTCCACTTGGCACAAAGCTCTGAGCTGTAATTTGTGAACTGAGATGTGATTCTTTTATCTTAGATGGGGACGTTCAGTGCAGAAGTGGGTTTTCCCATGAACTGCATCTTCCCTGTGAAGAACTACCATGAAGAAACCGACTTAGACAACGACACTGACTCACTGATCCTGAACACGCTGACGCACATCCTCGACTTCGGAGAAGAGATGCAACAACAATAAGACGATGCGTAATGTTCACACAGCCATCCATCATCTATAACCACGTATTCTGCGTAGGGATATCATTCTATGACATTCAGTAGATCTTTGTATTTCTGTTTGCAGCTTTTTTAAAACATATACTGTAGACTACCTACATATTCATTCGCTGTATTACACGCTGTTAATTATTCAAATGAACAAACCATCATAACTTTATTTTAAGCTCTTGTAGAGCTGAAGATGCAAAATACATATTTCTTTGGTTTGTAAATCTAAAACTTCTTCACACTGGTAATGTCTGGTAATTCATCATATTTCCCTTTGATGTAAAGGTGCAGTGATAAATAAAATACTCATAGTGAGAAAACACAACCAAATACAGTTGTTGCCATTTGTGACTTTTATAGTCGGCTATCTGTAAGTGGTGCAGGAAAATAGGCTAAAATGTCTGTTTTTGGACAACAAGCGCGTCCCAAACAAGCAGCGAGCTGCTGTGCTGGAATGGATTGTGAGCTGTAGTTCCCCTGATAAACACCTCGATCTCTTTGGCTTTTACAGATAGGCTCTTTGCGGCTGGACGGTCTCTGCGTCAGTCTTGCAAGATTAAAGCGTGATGAGATTTCTTCTCAGGTTAAAAACTATTTTGCGTGATTTACACAGTTGACATTTTCAGAACTTGTTGCACAAGGGGTCTTGACAAAGCAACCATATGTGAAGAGATGGAAGTGAGAACATGTTGGTGTTGTCATGGCTACAGGTGTGCAGGAAGCCTTTGAGATGTTGACACCTCTACGCATACCTGATGCATTAAAATCAGAGGACATAATAAACTCAGCATATTCTGTCTGTGATTATGCCAACGTTACATGGTGAACAACAAATTAAGAATACAGAAATCCTGTGAGCTCCCACACATACAGAGAAGTGAAGATTACTGAGGTGATGACAGCTTGCTACTGTAAGGAGGCCTTAATGCATAACATTCATCAGTAAAACGCCAATACTTAATCAATATACCTGTTAAAGTGTATAGTATATATTGACTTTACTGTTGCTGCTCTAGAAACAACATTTAGTTATATTTACAATATTCAATTCTAATCCTGTCTGAATTTATTCTAATTAATGTAACGTTAATCTGGATTATTTTAACAATTTATGTATTAATTGTGGTAGACGACATGCGAAAAGTAGAACATCATGTTGGATTTGAATAAGCAGCTTGATCTCAGCAATCTTTGTAATTTTAAGTAACTTTAGTGAGATATTTTAAGCAGCAATAAAAAACAAATGTCTTTGGTTATTAAGCGTTTAACTCTCAAAACCTTAGTTAATCTTTGTTTTAAGGAGTGTGTATAAATAGAGAAGTGAAATTCGGATAAATGGAGGACCACACGTATTATTTAGCACAAGAGCCGACAGAGCGTCGGCCACCGTAGCTTCTCCTCCGATACCAATACGGAAGTATCTGAAACTGCAATTCATCGAGTGGCCACTTGAGGCTGGCTGCAGAAGGGAGTCAATCTCCATTGACCCCTATGTTAAAAAGCCCAACTTTACAGCAGAATAAAACATGTTTACAGCCTGGTTCAAAAAATGGTTTTAGTGCATATCGCTAAATTTGCCCTTTGTGACAACTGTGAGGGTGGTGAATTTTTTTTTTATAACTCACCTGTTTAAATTATATTAAGCCTTAAAATTCTGCATTATTTGGGGTGTGGCCGCTTTGATTGACAGAAGCCAAAATGTAACGCTATTAGATTAACCTTAGTGTTAGACATTAAGGTGAGAATGCTTTGAAGAAAAGGCGTCTGTGTGAAGTTGTAAAGGCTCAGCTCTCAGTTAGCTGACGTTATGTTAATGGTAAACTTTACAAACAGGCAATGTGAGATTTAGCTACCTCCTGTAATGGAGTTACTGTTCAGTCAGATACTATTATAAGTGCTGAACCTGAACCCGATGGACACGAAGGATTTAAAGGCAGAGAGCCGAGCGGCTGCGGAGTTCTGCCTTAAACTGTCACACCGAGGAGCACCAATCCCATACATTTATCTGACGCTTTTATCCAAAGCGACTTACAATTGCTATACATGTCAGAGGTCGCACGCCTCTGGAGCAACGAGGGTTTAAGTGTCTTGACACAAGGTGGATGGCTCACTGTGGGAATCGAACCCAGGTCTCCCACACCAAAAGGCAAGCATCTTATCTATGCGCCATCACTGCAAACAGCTGATCACTCATTTTCTGTGATGAGTGATCAGCTGTTTACAGTGTGAGGAGTTGGTTTTACCTCTAGATGCCACTGAAACTTACATACTGAACCGCAATACATTTTCATTGTTATGCAGATGATACTCAATTATCTATCGATCAAGCCAGATGAAACCAATCAGTTCGCAACTTTGAGGCCTTAAAAATGTAAAACCTGGTTGACCTGCAATTTTCTAAGCCAAAACTAGCTTAAATATCACAGTTTGTGATTTACAGATAAACCTTGATAACTGAGCAAGCTAGCTCCACCTTCTCATCTGAATATGATCTCTTTTGGCTAAAAAAAAAAAAACGAGATGGCGACGGCCAAATGCCAAACTTGAGGCTTCAAAACGGTAGTCAACAAACCAACGGGCGACGTCACAATGGCTACATCCACTTCTTTTATACAGTCTATGCAGGCTGGATTACTGCAGTTCCTTATTATCAGGCTGCCTGAATGTTGCAGCACGTGAACTTACAAGAATCCTTCTGCACACCTACAAAGCCCTTAATGGTCAGGCACTGTCATATTTTAGGATTAGCAAGTGATTGTAATCCAATACACTTTTTTGTTAAAATTAAGTGACTATTTCCTCAATAGCTCTCCGTTTTGTATGTACCGCCTTTTCCTTGCCAATGTAGCCAAGTGCTTGCTCATGGTGGGAATTGTTGGTTGTCTGTTAATAAAATTACAAAGATTATGGTCTGGAACTGCTGAATTCTGCTTTATCATGAGAAGTCTAATGAGATAACTTCTGTTATGAATTGGAGCTATAGAAATAAAATTTCATCGCAGATATTTACATGTGCATTATTCCGGTTTGTGTTGTGCAGACGTGTTGTGGAATAGGATATTGTGTAAATAAATATATAAAAATATACCACAACAAAGATGAACAATTAACAACACATATGTCCAATGTGCATCATATGAAATGAAATAATATTTACATGTGCAGAGACGATTGTATTATTTGAAAGGGGGAGTGTCAGTGGGGGACCTGGGCCTTGTTAATGAGGCTGCAGACGGGAAGAAGCTGTTTATGTGGCGAGAGGTTTTGGTCCTGATGGACCGCAGCCTCCTGCAAGAGGGGAGAGTCTGAAACAGTTTGTGTCCGGGGTGGGAGGGGTCAGCTGCAATCTTTCCTGCTCGTCGGAGGCGTACAGGTCCTGAAGTCATGAAGTGAAGATTGCAGCCAATCACCGTCTCTGCAGAGTGAATGATACGCTGCAGCCTGCCTTTATCCCTAGTGGTGGCAGCAGCGTACCAGATGGTTGAGCAGCAGAAGACGTACATGAAGCAAGAATGGGAAAAGATTCCACTTTCCAGCTTCCAGCTGTAAATCAAATAAAAAAGTTTGATGTGTTTCCAGCAGTTTAGACATTAATGGCTGTGTGATGTGTTATTTTGAGGGGACAGCAAATTTACACTGTTATACAAGCTGCACACTCACTACTTTACTTTCACTTTCACTACTTTTTTTCGTAGCAAAGTGTAATTTTAGTGTTTAGTCTTTAGTGTTGTCACATGAAAAGATTTGATCAAATATTGACAAAAATGTGAGGGGTGTACTCATTTTTGTGAGATACTGTATATGCTCGCTGGGTATTAATGTGTCTATGTTTGCTCTATAGTGGTAATAATATAATAACTGCCCTTTTCTCCATATGTGCTTTACAGTACACAACCTACAAGATCCAAAAAGAAAGTCCACAGTCATTTTACCCTTTTGTCTTCAGTGACATCATGGGTCTGGATCCAAACAAAGGTGTCAAAGTGGAAGACATAAAACAGGCTTTGAAGGGACATGTGAAGGACATATTGAATTGTTGTACGCAGCCTCCCAATCCTGACAACAGAAAGTCATTGTTGCAACAGATATCTTGTCTTAGATCAAGCCAACTTCTGTTGATGTTAGCTAACCGCTAACGGCAGTCTCCATTTTCAGTTTCACAGTAAAGGCCTACCACTGCATGTGGTGGTAAAAATTGCTATTATGCTTAAATTACTATTATTACTTATATGCATGCTTAATACTCAACCTTCTTTGTTATTATACTGTCCAATATGCTGTTGAATTGTTTTCTTCTTGTTCCCTTCCCAAAGTTTCAAGGCTGAGAAAGGCTCCTCTGTAGACAAAACATTTGTGCCATTGTCTTAAAAAGTTTATGCAGCTCTTTCCACATGGTACACATCTGAGCCAGCTGAACTCTGTTCTTTTCTCATTTTTAATAAATTAGCCCAAAACAACAGTTTGTTGTAGCCTAATTATTTTATTTGTTCAATTCTCCACCGGGAAATATACAATTTCCACGACACTGCCTTCGTTGTAAAATGCATGGATCGGTTACGTTTGGCCAACACCTGATCCACTTAATAAAGTTGTTATCAGTTGTCCAGTCCAGATTGGTGCAGTGAGCACAAAAAGCCTTTAAAACTCTGAGATGTTAACTGAGCTGTTGATCTTTTTAAACTGTAGATGGAGCAGTTCAGTGCAGAAGTGGGTATTCCCATGAACTGCATCTTCCCTGTGAAGAACTACCATGAAGAAATCAACCTCAACAATGATGTTGACTCGCTGCTCCTGAGCGCACTGACAAACATCATCAACTTTGGAGAAGACGGCATCAACTTCAAAAAGAGTCAGTCTGAATGTTGAGACATGCTCCTCAGTGTTCTCAGATAACAGAGGTCCTGCATACTCAGCAGCTATAATACCAGGTGTGTGCTTCATGTAAAGTGCTGCCAGTGAATAATGTAGCCAGAAGTTCCTTTTTACTGGTGGTGTTCAGCTTCATGTTGGGTCAGCAGGACATTTTTATGGATCAGGGTAACAGATTGATAATGTCATTTGAAATGGCATTGTTACTTAAGCTGTTTTTGTTTTTTGATGTGGAGTTTTTTTTTATTTCTTTAATTGTGGTGATGTGCTTTTGGATTTTAGTCTCATGCTTCTTTCTGTTTTCTTTGTTTTCTAACATCGTGGGGCCATGTTGAAAACAAATGTTTTCCTTTAGATATTCGTACTGTGCCTGATAATCTATAAAATCAATGTTTGAATGCAGCATAAAAAGGCTGTATTTCATTACAAACAATCAGGTTTTATAACAATCTTGTATATGAATTCCTGATTTTTTGAATATTTGTATGTTTTAGTGTAAAGCCCCTGAAAATGTGGCTTCAAATGTTTTTAGTATTTCTTCCCAACATGAAATATTTATGACTAAATTAGCAACAATTAAGGTTTTAAAAAAACAAAACAAACATCTTTGGTTATTCTTTCTGAAGAATCTAACAGTCAGAACCTGAGCTAATCTGGTTCTATAGGAGTGTGTGTGTGTGTGTGTGATCAGATTTAACTGACTAACTATTTGAGTCCTGCCCACTCAAATCAGAGAAAATTGTGAAATAACTAAAAGTGCTAAAAACAGAATGGAGTGTTCATGTAAGATTTCATCGCTTATAATGAGTAGCTCTGAGAAAAACTAAAAGGGGTTCGTTATACTGTATCAACATTACTTCACAATCAGTGTCTTTTAAGTCTTATTAAATATATAAATATAATACTATGTAGGAGAATATTAATGCGATTTATCAGACATTTACAAGCTGCACAATGTAAAGCTTCAAACATTTTGTTTTATTGCAGCATAAAGAAAAAAAATGACACATTCATCAAGACGATTCTATTGTTCCTGTTTGTTTGTGTTGTAAATGCTATTTTTATCTTCTCTTTAAGGTGGAATGTGCAGGAATAAGTGTCTTTATAAGTTACTGAATTTTAATCTTAACAGAACAAAGTGAAGTCTTAACAGTGAGCTGCTCTCATAACTTTAATTAACTTTTTAGTGGACTTCTTTATCATGCATATATGTGTGAGGCCTTAAATTCAGAGATTAAAGGAGCCCGAATTTATATTAAGGAACATATAGAATACATCTAGAATAATAACACATCTTTACAGACTTTTGTTTTGTTCACTTATGAGAGATGAGTCATTAAAATCAGAATTTACATTAACTCTCATTTTGATTAATTTAATCTCTGAAGCTCAAAAACCCTCCTCTACCTCAGAAATGCTCATATCTGCTCATCACATGGTCACAGCGCCTCTCACAGGCTGAAACACATCGTTACAGCTTAAAAATTAGAGATTAAAATTTTTTAACCATCTAAATAATCTGCAAGCAGACATTGTCCTACTACAGGAGACTCATTTACCCAAGACAGCAGATAAACTAACTTCACCACAGTTTCCTCACTCGTATTCAGCCTGTTATCAGACATTTACACTCCCACCAAATCCTAGTACTAGTAGTAGTAATCCTAGTGCACTTTAACTCGACGAACTAAGCCATCACTACTTTGAACAGTCTCAATCACTTGTCCAAGTTGCCACTGATTTCTTGGGAGATTGTCATCTTTAATAATGACAATATCATTCACTTTGAGGTTGCGCTGAGGTGAGTGCCATTTCTGTCTTATGGACAAGTTCAACAGATACTCCTTTTTCCAGTGGCTCCAAAACTGTTCGATAAGATACTTAACTCTTCTCCACCTTTTTGTCGCATACAGGTCCTCCTTGACAAATACTCCAGGAGGAGGAAGAGCAACTTTAGATTTCATCAGTATGAGGTGATTCGGTGTTATAGGCTCCAGTGCCTGAGGATCATTGATTCCATCCACTGTTAATGGGCGGCTGTTAACAATAGCCATGGCCTCATATAGCAGTGTTCTGAGGGAGGTGTCATCAAGTCGACCTGGGCACTGTGCAAAGGTGGCATTCAGCACGTTTCTAACAGTTCTGATCTGGCGTTCCCAGACACCGCCTGCGTGACTGTCAGAGGGAGCATTGAAGACAAATTCTAACTGCTTCTCAGTCAGGAAGATTTCCAGCAGCTTAGTGTCACATTGTTTAAGTGCTTCCTTGAGCTCATTCCTGGCGCCAACAAAATTAGAGCCTTGGTCAGAGCGTAGTTGTTGAACAGCTCCTCTCAGGCTGATGAAGCATCTCAATGAGTTGATGAATGAGTCTGTTGACAAATCTTCGAGCATTTCAATATGAACAGCTCTAGAGTACAGACATGTGAAAATCAAGCCGTATCTTTTGTATTCTTTGCGGGCTTTCTTTACAATGAACGGGCCGAAACAGTCCATGGCGCTGTATGTGAAAGGTGCTGAGGCTTCGACGCGTTCTTTGGGAAGTTCGGCCATTTGCTGTGTCTCTGTCGGCCGTCGCAGTTTCCTGCAAAACACACAAGCGTGTATCAGCTTAGCAACCAACTTGCTCCCACCAATTACCCAGAATCCGTTGGCCCGAAGCTCCATTAAAGTCTGGCTTCGCCCCTGATGATATGTCTTAGCGTGGAAATGGGACACAATCAGCTTGGTGATGATAAGATGACTGGGTGCTTAACTTTGTGACAGAGCGATGACTGGTTCAATCTCCCACCAACACAGAGGAGTCCTTCAGACCAGATAGGGTCGAGACGGAAAAGAGAGTTTGATTTTGGAAGGTCTCTTTTGCCCTGAAGCATCTTTATCTCCTGGGGGAAGGCTTGCTGCTGTAAGATCTTAATCACTTCGTCTGCAGCCTTCTCACGCTCCTTAACAGTCACATACTCACTGTGTTGTTTCTGTTTAGACCCCAGCCTCTTGATTCTTGCCACCGCCTTAAGAATTGTTGTCCAGGAGGAAAACTGACTCAAACGCCTGAGGATGTCATTGTAGTTTTTGACTTCTGTTGCAAGCACCTGAATTGTCTTGACTTCTGGATCACCCACGAGTAATTCTGATGGCACGAAGACCTCGGGAAGCATGATCTGCCGGGTTTTCTGCGGTGTCTACATAGTGCCACTGACTGGGATCATTGTTATCCCTTATCAGCTGAACACGGTTCGCAACATATATGTGGAACCTACGGGCATCATTGTTAATGTACCCAAGCACAACTTGTGAATCTGTCCAGAAAACCTCTTCATCAATCTTTATGTCAAGTTCACCTTTTAACATGACACTGACTTTTGTAGAAACCACAGCTGCCGCGAGTTCTAGCCTCGGGATACTTGTGACCTTTGAGGGTGCAACTCTTGCTTTCGCCAACACGAGACTGCAATGGACTTCATCCTTGTCATTTTTATACCTGAGGTAAGAACATGCACCGTATCCCACGCAGCTGGCATCCGAAAAGTGGTGCAGCTCTACTCTGACAATGTTGTGGAAGTCATATGGGTGGTAACATCTCGGAATTGAAACCTCTTTCAACCTGTGAAGCCCATTTATCCACTCCTCCCACCGTGGCCTCATATCTTCTGGGAGTGGATCATCCCATCCGATGCCTCTGTGACACAGCTCTTGAAGTATACGCTTTCCAGTTAGACTGAATGGAGCGATGAATCCAAGTGGGTCATAAAGAGAGGCAATGACAGAAAGGCAACCACGCCGGGTTGAAGGCTGATCTTTTAAGTTGCTGCTAAAGCTGAAAGTGTCCGTTTTAATCGACCATTGAATGCCGAGTGCACGCTCTGATAGGGTTGGATCGAGTCCCAGAGGTTTGATGGTTGCTGCTCTTTCTGAGGGATCTAAGGTGGCGAGGGCTGCTTCCTCATTTGAGTTGAATTTATGGAGGCGTAGGCCTCCTCTTTTGCACAACTCCTGTGACTCAGTGATCAGTTTCTTGGCTTCCTCGACCGATGGGATGCTGACTAACCCGTCATCAACATAAAAGTTCTTCTCTACAAATGTTGATGCCAATGGATAGGTAGCTTTGTGTTGCCGTGCCAGATGTTTCAAGCCAAAATTGGCGCATCCTGGGAATGAGGCGGCTCCGAAGAGATGAACCACCATCCTGAATTCCTGTGGTTCCTTCTCCAAATCTCCACCTTTCCACCAGAGGAATTTCAGATAATTCCGGGACTCAGGAGTAACCGAGAACTGATAAAACATTCTTTCGATATCACAGATAATCGCTACGGCCTCCTTCCTGAAGCGGCAAAGAACTCCTACCAGAGGATTGATAAGATCAGGCCTAGTTAAAAGAGTGTCGTTTAGAGAAACCCCATGGAATTTGGCTGAACAGTCAAATACAACCCTCAGCTTGTCTGGTTTTCTGGGGTGATAGATGACGTGATGCGGAAGGTACCACTCAGTCTCTCCAGCAGATGTTGTAGGGGCAGGCTCTGCATCACCCTTGTTAATTGTTTCTTCCATGAATGTTTTGTATTGATTATAATATTGTTTGTTGGTCTTTAATTTCTTCTTAAGGCACTGCAGGCGAACTGTGGCTAGTCTCTTGTTGTTTGGTAGGTTGGGTGGACTGTTTCCCTTGAAAGGGAGGGGCATCTCATAATGCCCATCTTTCTTCTGTGTGATGTTGTCACTGAGGAACTGTATGAAATGAACATCGTTCTGGGACGCATATTTATCTTCATAAGCTCTCTCTGTGAAGTCTGATTCTAGGGCTTTTAGAACATCTGTCGCCGATGGAATTGGCAGTTCTTTTACTGTGAGCCAATGCACAAAGCTCTGACTTCCTTGTCTATCTAGGTGAGGGTTTGATGAGCCTATGATACTCCATCCTAGTTTTGATCTCTGTGCAAACGGTTGATTTTTCTCCCCAATGATGACCTCAAGAGGAGCCAGTGCTGATGGACAGTCATATCC